TATTAGGTGACATCTTCAGTGCATACTTCAATTCGAAGTTAGCTTTTAGATTTCTCTACGAGTTTATTAATCATCTCTCCTGGTCACCTTGGGTGTGATTGGTTGTTTTCGTGAGTTTTCACACCTTCTAGGTTACTTATATTGGAACTGATTGTTTCTGTGACTTGAACTTTGACTCTTTGTGTGTGAAGTTTCTTTCTTATTGGTTGATAAATTTTGTCTATCTCGATGTGTCTATTGATTGATGATTCACTGGAATACTGGCCAAGCTTCTAAAAATTCTCTAGCATTCTTGTTGTTTCATCTGTCTAATATTTTAACGCTGGTTGTCCCAGTCGAATTGATATCCATGGTTGTCTGTATGTAGTGATATGAGCCAGGGAGTGAATGTCATATCTTTTGACGGCTAGCTTATGATCGTGGATACGAAGACGAAGGGGACGTCCACTGTGGTCAATGTAGTGTTTTTCGCAGTTGTTACAATTTATTTTGTAGATGATGTTGGTTTTATCTTCTTTAGCTGATGAGTCTTTTGGTTGACATAGAATTGAGTGAAGTGACTTTGTTGGTTTGTGTACGACGTCAATACCTATAGGTTTGAAGAGTCTTGTAGTGATTTCTGAGATAACCTTTATATATGGTAAGGTGATTTTCTTTGTGCTTTTGTTGTGGGCTTTTGGTTTGATAGGTTACCTTCGAGGTATATATCTTTTGATGAAATTCCGTGGATAACCATTCTTTTGGAAGACGTCAAAGAGATAACTTTCTTTAATTTTCTTTAAAGTGGGTGTGCTGCAATGAGTCCTGGCCTTCTTGAATAGTGTTTGTATGACTGTAAGGTGTGAAAACACAGAAAAATAACCAATCACGTCCAAGTTCATCAGCTAGGAGAGATGAGTAATAAACTCGTGGAGAAATGTAAAAGCTCACTTCAAACTGAAGTATGCACTGAAGATGTCACCTAGTAGGGTGATCAAAGCTTCGCAAATCAACCATCCAGCTAGATTAGAGAACACAACCACATCAAAATCATCCACCTGAGCTACAAATCTTCTGTATCATATTTATACTTGGTTTTTTTGTTAATTATTATTATTGCTCCCTTCGGTTCCTAGTGGAACATAGGGCTTAAACTGCATGCCTCCACTTGCTCCTATCTTCTGCTGCCGTACTTTTCACCTGCATCCATGTTAGTCCATAATCTTTCAACTCCTCTTCACACGATCTCCTCCATGTCACTCTCACACTGACGTCCCACTCGCTGCTTCACTTTCGACCTGGTTCCACTCGAGCGATTGCCTGACACGCGCGCGATGTCACCCAGCGGTCTCCTCAGCGAGTGTTCGATCTATCTCCACTTTCTCCTGCATATTTGTTGGTTGGCGATTGTTTCTTGTCTTGTTTCTTCCCATAGTTCCTTGTTGGTGATTCTTTCCGGCCCGGCCATCTGATCTTCAGTAGAGATCCAGCGAAGACAGTTCTTGGTTGATAAGGGCCTGCAACAGTCTATTGGAAATATTCTTTGTGACCCGCCAAGTTTTTGATCCGTAAAGAAGAACTGACTGACTTGACGTTTGTATTGAAACTTTGACCGAATTTTGTTATTGATGCTGAGTGACGAAGATTTCCAGATTGATTTCAGGTTGATGAATGTGTTTCTCGCCTTCCCGATTCTCGCTCGATTTGACACCCTCGTCCGTTCCGCTGTCTGTAATTGAGACAATGCTCCCTAGATAAGTAAGTAAATGAAGTAACCTCTTTCAAATCCCTCCCGTTGATGGTGATTGGCGCAGGATGTTGTTGCTGTTGTTGTTGTTTTTGGTTGGTTATTTTCATAACCTCCGACTTGTCTATGTTCACATGGAGTCCTGACTTTGCCATCTGCTTCTTCGACCAGTTTTTCGGTTTTTTCGCTTGTAAGTCTTCGATTTTGTGACAGTGACATCAAACATAAATCATGCACGCGCGCGAAATCCAGGTCTTCTAGGTTCTTCGCATCGGTCCAGGATAGTCCTGTCTTCTCGTTTCCCACTCACTGTCTGACGCATAATACAGTCAACCACAATTAGGAATATCATTGGTGATATTAAGCACCCTTGTCTGACTCCTGTGTTTACTCCAAACGCCTCGCTGAGTTTTCCGTTGTGGATCACTTGACATGTGCCGTTGTCGTACAGCTGTTGAATGAGGTTGATGAATATTTGGGGTATGCCGTAGTACTCGAGTAGTTTTCAAATTACTTCACGGTCAACGCTGTCGAAAGCGTTCTCAAAGTCTATAAAGTTGAGGTAGAGGTTTGATTGCCATTCCATGCTTTGTTCCGTGATGATGCGTAGAGTTGCAATTTGGTCAGTACATGATTTGCCGATTTCCTGAATCCAGCTTGTTCTGGTCGGAGTTCTGTCTCCAGTGCGTCCTTTATTCTCTCCAGGATGATGCGACTCAGGATTTTACTTGGCGTCGACAGGAGCATGATTCCTCGCCAGTTCTTGCAGAGTAGGGTGTAAGTCCCCCTTCTTTGGTAGTTTCACGAGGTAACCTTTCCTCCAGTCAGTAGGCACCTTTCCCTCCTTCCAGACCTTTTGCAATAATGGAGTCAGCATGTCTGCTGTAGTCTCTGGGTCTGCTTTCAGTGCTTCAGGGGCTATTCCATCTTGTTTAGCTGCTTTTCCAGCTTTCAGAAGCTTGACTGCATTCAAGACTTCAGCTCTCGTTGGAGGATTGGTGTCAACTTGCAGTTGTGTGCGCGCTGTTGTTGGTATTTCTGGACGGGTTGCAGGTGATGGTCGGTTCAAGAGTCCTTTGAAGTGATCCGCCCATTGTTTAATCTGTTTTTCTTCCTTGGTAATTGGGTTCCCTTGGCTGTCTTTTATAGGTTTCGCTTGTGTTGATCTCTTCCCGGATAGAGATTTGGTTATCTGATATAGTGTCCTCAGGTCCCTTTTGCCTGCTGCCTTCTCAGCTTCAGTGGCGAGGTTGTCGTAGAATCGTCTTTTGTCCTTCCTAGCACTCTTCTTCACTTCTTTGTCCAATGCTTTGTAAGTTGAGCTCATCGTCTCCTTCTCCTGTCCGTCCTTGCATTGAATCATTTTCTCTTTCACCATTCTCCTCTCTTCTATTAATTTCCAAGTGTCCGTTGAGAGCCATTCCTTGTCTTGTCTCTTCTTTCTTCCTAAAACCGTTGAACACGTTTCGTTGAGAATCGCCTTCAGAGACTTCCAATGTTCTTCCACGCATGATTCTTCAGTGATGTCGCGTAGTGTTTCCTGCTTTGCTCTGACAGTTGCAGTGAAAGTGTCCTTTGTGGTTGTGTCCTTCAGTTTCTGAGTGTTGAACTTGCATTGTGGCCTATCCTCAGCTATCCTCGAGGCTTTTAGTTTCACCTTGAAAGTCCCTTCTACTAGATAGTGGTCTGAACCCACATCTGCTCCTCTCCTTGACCTTGTGTCCAGTAGGCTCCGTCTCCACTTTCTTGAAATTGAGATGAAGTCTATTTGGTTCTTGGTGTTTCCATCTGGTGAAATCCATGTCGTCTTGTGTATATCCTTGTGTTTGAACACACTACGGCCAATCACCAAATCATTGAAGGCGCAGAAGTCTGAGAAGAGTTCACCATTGTCGTTCATTTCACCGAGGGCCTCACGACCCATGGTGAGTTCTCTTCCTGTGTTGTCTCCTCCCAGCTTCGCATTCATGTCGCCCATCAGGATTTTGATATCGCCATTTGGGACGTTGTCCATGATTGCTTGTAGTTGTCTGTAGAACGCCTCCTTCTTCTCTTGTTCTGAGACGTTTGTAGGCGCATAGCATTGAATGACTGTAACTTTCCTTCCTTTTGAGTTGAACCTGGCTGTCATTATCCTGGAGGAGATTGGTTCCCACTGCATGAGAGCTTTTGTTGCTGTTGGTGACATCATGATGGCCACTCCCTCGGTTTGCTCGTGGTTGTCCTCTGGGTGGCCGGAAAAGATTACTGTCTCTCCAGTAGGTAGTTGGCACCTTCCAGTTCCGTTCCATCTGCTTTCGCAGATTCCCAACACTTCTATTCTGTACCTTCTCATTTCAGCGGCTATCTGGGCAGCCTTTCCAGTTTCGTACATTGTACGAACACTCCAGGTACCCATCCTTACTTTTGCTTTCATCGAAAGAAGGCACATCGGCTGACTGTCTTCCCGAAGGCTTTCACCAGCCTGCGTCATTTCACTTCCCCGATTCCAGCGAAAAGTAAGTCTATTGCTTATGGTTTTAGAATTTTTAATATATTTATTCGTTGAAGTTTCTGTAGCGATTTGGTTGTTTTACGTGGGTGGAGTTGCTAGCACCACGCCCCGACCCTCCCTCTTTACCCGGGCTTGGGACCGGCTAGAAAACTAGGAAGCTAGTAGCCTAGCAAGCTAGTAATCTGGCGAGATTATTTTTGTTAATTCGAAGACAATAAATTTCTATATTTCTTGATGTGCTCCATTGAATGACTAGTTATCATATAGTTCCCACAAACCAAAGGCAAAAAAAAGACAGCAGCCATGCAATTTCACCATAAACTAAATTTATGTAATTTAAATAATGCTTATACACGCCTGTAAAACTGGTGTGTCCGGAATAGGTAGGAATACATACATATTTTATTATATTATTATTAAATATGCTTACTAATCGTATACGTAATTTATTATATTGACGATACCTGTAAACTGACATCCCTCATGTACAAAAAATGAGAATATAAATATAATTAGTTGATGTCATTGGTATTGAACTACTCATATCGACCAGTGAGTAGTATATGCCATTACTACAAATTTATTCACTTCACACGATATGTCACTACACACTATCACACGGTTAAAACAATTTAGTGAGTACATAGGCACACATACACACACACACACACATAGATTTTCTACGCCTAATCTGAGAAGTATACTCACGACTTTGAACTCCATCATAAATAATAAAATGCTTATTTGATGCTCAAATGTACAAAGTACAAAAAGAAGCAACCGTAATTTCAGAATAGTTCTCTCGTTATTGTTAAATATTATGCTACAAAATAATAATAATACTGAAAAGTATAAATTGATGATTTCTTATGGATAGATCTCAAAGTATATAGAGAATGAAGACAGGTGAGTCTATTTAATTTGATCACTTTTGAGCATACTTCATTATTCCATTCAAACTATGGTTCCTCAATACTTCTGTTCTTCAATGAAGGAAATATTCCCATATTGAGTCATAAGAAAAAGACACAAACAGCCAAGAAAACTTTCTTTTCGATGATTCATTCATTTTCATAAACTACTGTACAATCGTAATTATATTTAACAAAGAAATCTTTAGACCAATCAGATACTAGTAAACGTTTTCCTTGAAAAATTGTATTACGCAATGTAAGGTGTAACCTAGAAGGGATGACTGATTGTAAGTTAGAAAGGAGACAGAAGTTGGCATGACGTACATTGTGTTCAAGGATTAGAAAAATCTGCTTGGAAGACATGGTAGAGAAAGAATTAAATTTATTACGTGAAACCCTACTACAGAATCGGTATCCACCAAGATTTATCGACAAAAACATGAGAGAGAAGCCTCTAGTGTCAAACATCGCAACCGCTCCTAAAAAGACTGTCTTCATAAACCAAGCATTCAAAGGTGATATAGCAGAGGAAATTCTCAGAAAGTGCCTTTCTAAATGTCTGAAGAAGACATTTCCAACAGCCACCCTACCTACGTATCACATTCTCCAGAAGACAGTTAATCCAGTCTAACGCTAAGGACAAGATACCGTTTTTGGCCATTTCAGTGTGTATCTATCAATCTACTTGCTCGTGTGGAGCAAAGTATACATCGACTGTACGCAACGTCAAGTCCACAAACGTATCCTGGAACACTGCCCAGCTTGGTTAACCAGCCAGAGGAGAAAAGAAGAATGGCAACAGCTCGATCCTCGAACACCATGTCATCTTCGGACATCGAGCACCCCATATTAATCCTTCACAGTGTTACCCAGAGTCCCTCAATATCGTACAAAGGGACTTCGAATACGCCATATGTACGTAGCTGAAGCATTAGCTATTCAGGACTTTAAACCTGACCTATGCATTCAAAAGCGATACATACATTCTCTTGCCCTACCATGGCCAGAGTAAAGTTCTTACTACAATTTTACGTATTTCCTTTATTATGTAAGTTCACTATTGGCATCATTATTGTTATTAATACTTTTATGATCACTATTATTCCCACAATCAACATTTTATTACCACTCTATTACTGTTTATTAATAACATTGCTTTTTCATACAGATTTTACTGTCCATCCTACACTGGCTTATTGATTAGTCATTATCTCACACTTGTTAAGACATGCCAACTTTTGTCTCCTTTCTAACTTACAATTAGTCATCACTTCTTTCACCTTATATTATTATTATATCCTTTAATTACTAGAGGAACATAGGGTTTTAGCTGCGCATCTCCATTGCCTTCTGTCTTCTGGCAACTTCTTCACCCCGCTCCAGGTCAGCCCACACGCTTTCATCTCCTCGATGTCATCCTCACACTGAAGACCAACTCGCCGCTTCTCATTCTGTCGGGTTCCACTCGAGCAATGGCTTGTCTAGTGATGTCACTTGATGGTTTGTTTCCTCAGAGTATGGCCAGCCAATCCATCTCCATTTCTTCCCGCCTATTTGTTGCACAACCGGTTCCTGGTTGGCTCGCTCACTGCCAGAGATCCCTGTAGCTGATTTTTTCTCGCCGGCCATCTGATCTTGATTAGTATTGAGCGAAGACAACTATTGATGAATATCTGTAGTTTGTTTGAGACGCTCTTTATGACGCGCTAGCCAAGTCTCTGATCCGTATAGTGAGTAGCACTGACTGACTTCACATTGGAGTTGAAAATCCGGATCATATTTTTGATGGTGAGTGCTGTTGACCTCCACACAGACTTAAGAGTAATGAAAGCTTGTCTTGCTTTCCCGATCTTCGCTTTGATATCTTCGTCAGTTCCATCCACCTGTAGTTGAAACGAAGCTTCCCAGGTAGGTAAAGGAGGTTGTTTCTTTCAGGTTCCTCCCATTCATGCTGATTGTTATCTGTCGTTGTTGCTGTTGGACAGGAATCTTCATCACCTCTGGTTTATCTATGTTCACCTGCAGCCCCATCTGTGATACTTCTTCTGCCAGCTTGTTGCTTTTCACTTGCATATCTTCCATTTTGTGGGAAATCAGACAAATATCATCGGCGAATTTCAGATCCTCCAAGTCTTTTGTGTCAGTCCATTTTATGCCTGTTTCCTCATTGTCTGGCCCGCTTTCTGTCGCATTATCCAATGTACTGCGATCAGGAAGATCATTGACGATAGTAGACAGCGTTGCCTCACTCTTGTCCTCACTTCGAAGGCTTCCGTAAGTTTCCCGTTGTGGATTACTTGGCATGCAGCACTGTCGTATAACTGTTGGATGAGATGTATAATTGTCGATGGCACCCCGTAGCAGGGAAGTAGTTGCCAAATCACCTCTCGGTCGACGCTGTCGAAGGCCTTTTCGAAGTCGATGAAGTTGAGATAGAGAGGTGACTGCCATTCCGAGCTTTGTTCAATGATGATCCGTAGAGTGGCGATCTGATCAATACATGACTTGTTTCAAGTGAATCCAGCTTGTTCCGGTCGAAGTTTTTCATCCGCGGCTTGTTTGATTCTCTCTAGGATGATACGGCTTAGTATTTTCCTTGGAATGGACAGGAGCATAATTCCGCGCCAGTTTTTGCATTGACTTAAGTCTCCTTTCTTTGGTAGTTTGAATAAGTATCCTTTCTTCCAATCCTCGGGTACTTTGGCATCTTTCCACACCTTCTCCAGCAATGGCCTCATCAAGTTCACTGTTGTCTCTGGGTCCATTTTCAATGCTTCTGCTGGGATTCCATCTGGTCCCGGTGTTTTCCCAGCTTTAAGCATCTTGATTGCATTCAAGAATTCTGATTTCGTCGGGGTGTCGATGTTCACTGGTAGTTCTGCTTCCGTTGTATATGTTACATTATGTAGCACAATTTTCAAGGACAAAGTTTACCAGTATCTGATTGGTCTAAAGATTTCTGTGTTAATTATAATTACGATTGTACAGCAGTTTATGAAAATGAATGAATCGTCGAAAAGAAAATTTTCTTCGATGTTTGTGCCGTTTTCTTATGATGACTTTTGTTCTTCAAGGGAGTATTACTGGTTCCATCATATACAAAGTTAAACTAACAGATGTCGGTAAATGATTTTTTGTGAAATATATCCTTTTTCGAAAGTTTAACAAGATAATACACATATATTTTTTTTTTCTGAACTTCAAATTTTCAGATAACATGAAAACTGTTCATTTTAATGATAAAGTCAATGAGGTAATTACAAATATTCAAAATGTACATCATTTCTATTTTAGTCGTCATATGAAAATTCGATATCAGTTCGAAGCTACATCATAAAAGTATTTAGCATGTTTTGACGTATTACACTTGTTTAGTTGGTGATATTTACCTCAGTGATGATGTCGGTGACTATTTTAATCACCCAATTGATAACGGACATGTAAATTTATTCATAATAGAGATTTGAATAATATCTACCCTCTGTTTTCTTCACTTCATAGACAAGTTCTTCGTGATGCATTTAGTAAACAGGATTTTTTAGCTCCATTCATACTGTTGTAAGTTGCTTTTCAATAAAGAAGTATTCCAATCACTTCATTATGGATAATATTTATGTTATGATAAAGTAACACAGGGTTTGTTATTATTATTATTATTATTATTATTATTATTATTATTTCCTTTAATTCCGAGTGGAACATAGGGCTTCAGCCGCGCGTCTCCATTGCGTTCGGTTTTCTGCCGACGTTTTCACCCCGCTCCAACACTGCCCACACGCTTTCATCTCCTCTTCACATGACCTCCTCCAAGTCACCGTCACGATATTTTTTTTCCTTCACGTTCCCTAGTGGAACATAGGGCTTCAAGCTAATGGCTTGAAGTTTCTGTAGCAGTGTTATGTTTTTACAGGATGGGGTTGCTAGCCTCATGCCCAACCTTTCCTATTTACCAGCATTATTTCTGGCCTAGCGAGGTAAAGGAGTGCGTCGGCCGGTGATCGAACCCCGACCCATGTGCATGGTCGGCGAGCGTCTTAACCGCTATGCCACCGACGCAAGTCACAGGCACACTGACGACCAAATCGCCGCTTCACATTCTGTCGGGTTCCACTCGAGCAATGGCTTGTCTAGTGATGTCACTTGATGGTTTGTTTCCTCAGAGTATGGCCAGCCAATCCATCTCCATTCCTTCCTGCCTATTTGTTGCACAACCGGTTCCTGGTTGGTTCACTCACTGCCAGAGATCCCTGTAGCTGATCTTTTCTCGCCAGCCATCTGATCTGGATTAGTATTGAGCGAAGACAACTATTGATGAAGATCTGTAGTTTGTTTGAGACGCTCTTTATGACGCGCTAGCCAAGTCTCTGATCCGTATAGTGAGTAGCACTGACTGACTTCACATTGGAGTTGAAAATCCGGATCATATTTGTGATGGTGAGTGCTGTTGACCTCCACACAGACTTTAGAGAGATGAAAACTTGCCTTGCTTCCTCGATCCTCGCTGCTTTGACATCCTCGTCAGTTCCATCCACCTGTAGTTGAAACGACGCTTCCCAGGTAGGTGGGTGAAGGAGGTTGCTTATTGCAGATTTCTCCCATTTACGCTGGCTGATTGTTGTCTGTTTTTGTTGCTGCCGCTTTTGGCCAGGAACCTCCATCACTTCTGTTTTCTCTATATTCACCTATTTTTGTCCTATCTTTAATGCCTCTTCTACATCCAACTTGTTGTTTTTCACTTGCATTTTATGCCTGTTACCTCAATGCCCGCTGTTTGTCGCATCATCCAATCTATCACACTGTTTGTTGTAGTACAGTAATATCTACTTACTTACTTTACTTTACTTCGGCTATCTCCTACGGGAGGATGAGCCGGCTTCATGAACGTCTCGAATCATCGCTGCCCAGGCGCGGCGATCTGAAGCAAGGTTTTGCGATAGGGATATCCAATTCTTGTTCCACATACGGAGTCCGTAGACCGTTTGTAGCCCCAGGCACTCCATATCTGCCTTGACTGTACCAAGCCATGTCTTCAGCTGTCCGCCTCTGCGACATCGCCAAGATGGTAATGGCGAGGGATTTAGAACTGATTTGACCAGATCGTCATCTGGTCGGCGCAGAACATGGCCAAACCACCGAAGGCGGCGTTGTTGGACCAGTACTGGAATTTGGTTGATGTTGTAGCAACGCCGACGCACTTCTTCGTTGGAGAGTTTGTCCTGCCAACGAACATGCAGAATGTACCTGAGGCACCAATGGTCTAATACCTCGAGTCTGCGTAAATCTTCCGCGCGAAGAGGCCAGGTTTCACAGCCATACAGCAGAACGGGTCGTATGGAAGCTTGGTAGATCCGAATTTTAGTCCTGAGACTGATTTCTCTCTTGCTCCATAGAACGCTCCTCAGCTGTAGAAACGCATTCCGGGCGTTGGAGATTCGCGCATTCACTTCGTTTTTCGCTTGGCCGTTGGGGAGCATTATGGATCCCAGATATCTGAAGGATGGCACAATTTCAATAGGTGCTCCATTTAAGGATAAGATTTCATCATTGCTGGTGGATGTGTTCGAAAACATTTTGGTTTTGGAAGTGTTAATTTTCAAACCGATAGTAGACGCGAGGTGGTTTATCTGGTCGAGCGCCTGTTGCATATCGGGGAAGTTTTCAGCTAACAGCACGACGTCGTCGGCGAATTCGAGGTCGGTTATGTGAATATCGGGCGAAAGTTGGACGCCGTGGTGCTCGGTTAGGGCGTGCCGCAAAATCCAATCAATTGTGAAATTGAACAGGATGGGGGATGCTGGACAACCTTGCCGGACACCGCTGGTTACCTCAAAAGTGCGGGACTCTTCACCGTTCACTCGGACTCGAGCTTTGGTGTTGGAGTAGTATGACCTGAGCAGGTTGATTAGCTTGGTCGGAACTCCGTCGAGCTCCATTAGATACCAGAGTGCTCCTCGATCAACTGAGTCGAATGCCGCTTGGAAGTCGATGAAGCAAGCAACCGTCGGCTGTTGGAATTTGTCCCTGTGTTCCAAAATTCTTCGCAGTGTGAATAATTGATCAACACAGCCTCTTCCAGGTCGAAATCCGGCTTGATTTGGCCTTGTTCGCACGTGGCGTTCGGCCGCGAAGCGGTTCAGGAGAATGGAAACAAAAACCTTAGCAGCGATATCAATCAGACTTATGCCTCGGTAGTTCTCGCATATTGACCTGTCTCCCTTTTTGTGGAACGGTAGCAGAACTGAGGTGCTCCAATCGGAAGGAATGGTTTCGGACTCCCAAATTGAGCAGAACAGCGAGTGCAGTGCATCGATTAGCGCTGGAGTGCAGGCCTTGTATATTTCTGGGGGTAGACCATCTTCGCCCGGAGCTTTTTTGTTTCTGAGTGTGTTAATTGTTTTAGCTATTTCGGTTGGAGTGGGTGGATCGCAGTCAACTACGTAGGGTGTTGGTAAGTGTCGTATCGGTCGATGAGACGGTTGACCAGCGTCGCGATTGAGTAGCTGCTTGAAGTGTTCGGCCCATCGTTCCATCTTACCATTGGTGTCCGAAATAATTTCTCCTGATGCTGTGCGTAACACAGCATGACTGTTAAGGCGTTTGCCAGATGATTGGCGTAAGAGGCGATAAAGTTTTCCGAAATCGCCTACATTTGATGCTGCTTCCATGTTAGTCGCCACGTTAGACCAATAGCGATTTCTGTCGTTCCTAGCAGACTGTGTAGCTTTGCGCCTGAGGGAGCGATAAACTGGAGACTTTGCTAGGCGAGCGTCTCTGGCTTGCGAGGATAGAAGCATGGTGTGCTCTGAAATCCAGTCTTTCTGCTTCTTGGATGTGGTACCCAAATGCGTCATTGAAGCTTTAGAGACTACTTCTTTGAAATGATTCCATCGTGTCTCGGGTGTATTAGAAGATGTGGATGTTGGTTCATCTGCGGCGCTTAGTTCGGCCTGGATTTGTTTGGACAAGGCTTGTCGTCTTGTAGAACATTGAAGCGGGGCAACATTGATACGCTTCGGAGGTCGCGCCTTCTGGCGTGTCGTTAAACGAAGTTTGAATTTCGCCCTAACTAGAGTATGGTCTGATCCCCCTTTATTTCCGGCCTCTGCTCCACGATAGGATCGACAGTCTTCCACCGAGGAGATCCAGCGTGAGCGCACTAGGATGTAGTCGATCTGATGTGCAGTGCGACCGTCGTTCGAATACCAGGTGAGAAGATGTTTTCTGGGGTGTTGAAATCGAGTGTTGGTGATATATAATCGATTGTAATCAGAAAAAGCTAAAAGTCTATCACCATTACGGCAGCGCTGATCGAGACCGTGTTTGCCTAGTATATGTTTTGTCGCGTCGTCTGAAGGGCCAGTGCGGGCGTTCCAATCGCCGGCTACTATGAGAACGTCACGCTTTGGGATTTTGTTGATTGCCTCTTGAAGATTGTCATAAAATTCGTCTTTGATACTTTCATCAGAGTCGAGGGTTGGGGCATAGACAGCGAGAACAGAAATGTCGAGCGGGGAACCCTTGAACCTAGCGACTGCAACTCTGGAGTTGACCGGTTCGAATGATATTAGGGCATTATTGGCTTTGTTACTGAGAGCAAATGCTACCCCATGTTGTCCCGAATTATTCTGGGGGCCACTATGAAGCAACCAGAATGAAGAATCTGTTCCAGGAACGGCTATTCGGCGGGAGCCATGATCGGGTAACCTCACTTCAGATAGACACGCTATGTCTACCTTGTAGTCATATAAAGAACGCATGGTGATAGACTGGCTACCAGGATCCAACAGCGTCCTAACATTCCAGCAGCCAACAAATAGTTGGTTTCTAAGTGTTAATTTCCCAGCTAGCTTACTTTTCACACTGGCCACCGGGTGAGCACAGGGCGCGTCGCTTACCGGGAACGCCGTAGCATGGTGAGAGTTGTTTGTAGGAGAGTTCATGAAGTTTCTTGGGAATTTGGTACGAGTGATGTCCCCAGCATCTACTGATGCGACCATGTGTTCGAGCACAAATTATTACCTCAGCTCATAATCATATCAAGGCATTACTCACACGTAACGTTTTGCTTCATTTATATATTTTATATAAGGCATCCATAGTTAGTTCTTCCATATAAGGAGAGGACATCTGAGACCCTACGTAGAATTCTCAATAAAGCAGAAATTAGAGTGAAGGCATTCAACCCTTAGAAAACTTACTTAGGTAAGACAAACTCCGTAGGTTAAAAGACCCTGTCGGTTGACCCAATTAAACAAAATAATATAATTTACAAAATACCCTACAATGACTGTGAGTTAAGTCAACTATATAGGTCAAACTAGTAGATGGGTGGGGAGTAGTGAGATTATCAGAATATAAGAATTTAGCTAAGGTTAGAATGATTCACCCCACAAAGATAAGTAATTTAGAAAAAATCTCAACAATCGCACTGGATGCATCAACACATAACCACACAATAGGCCGGGTGGGACAGAGTCAAAATTCTAAAGATTAGTATAGATAGGTGGAGATGGAGATAGAGATTGATTACTGAATCCTGCGTCATTGAATCTATCCCCCAATTCAACACAAATACCAGAGATGTGGAAGATATTGTGACGACCAGTCAAATCAGAGGAAAATAAATAATGTTAACGTGTATATAATTCACATTATGACATTCTAACAAGTCACTTATTTTTACTATAAAAACACTTGTCTAATTCCCCATCTGATTGTATTTTACTGATAACACTCATATTATTATTTCTGAATGTACTTTATCTTACATTGGTTTTATTCAAATGTCCAATCATCAATTCCACTCATGTATATAAATGAAGTAAAAAGTTGTGTGAGTGACTTGATATAATTATGAGCAATAGTTTGTGCTCGAAACGTCATCAGTAAATATTACTGTAAGATAAACACTGTGTGATTTATCAAAATAAAGTCTTATCCATAATGGAGTCATGCTGTGCCACAATTTCCAAGTTTTATACTTATATCACAAAATGTCCCGATCAATTAAATAATTTTTCAAATTTTATCCGACTTACATATGTCCAAACCAAGTTCACTTTTAACAGTTTGGAAAAATTTGGGCCACTGTGCGTCGGTGGCACAGTGGCTAGGACTTTCGCCGACCATGCACATGGTCCGGGGTTCGAACCCACGCCGACGCAAACCTGATATCTATGGCTGGCCTGCGAATTTTGGGCTACCGATATCCACGCTGAAAATTCCACACTTGTACCAAAAATACGGTGAGGAATCAAGCTGTAACCAAAAAAAAAAATTATAATAAAGGTTTTTTTTTTGTATTTCCAAATGAATGAAAAACAAAACGATATTGTTGTTTTTACTGAGGTTTCGCTACTTGATGCTAATAGCTTCATCAAAGTATTATTAAACCGGAATTTACAAAATCCACTCAGCATATACATAACAGAAAGTTAAAAGGTGAGAAAATAGACTTAGGTCAAGTTAAATGGACGCATTGAAAGTCAAAATAATAATGAAGATCACTAAACCAAATATCAAAGGTAATAGATTATCTGTAATGATATCAAAACAAAGTTTACTAACTTGATCATCGTTCGTCAGTCTGGGGTCATTTTTAGTTGTCAAGTTGGTCAACTGGTAGAGATAACAAAACCAAGTGTAGATTGTTGGATTTGATCAGTGTGTGACATTATAAAAGTAGTGTGTGTTTGCATAGTGAACTTGCCTATTATATTATTGCATGGAGGATTTAATCATGAGCTGACATCAGTTAGAGAACCACTGGAAAACCTGCCAAGGAGTACTGGACAGCTGTTTCGTCCTAGTTTGGGACTCTTCAGCAGTACGCACCCACCGGGATTCGAACCCAGGACCTTCTGGTTACGAGGGTTCCCGGGTTCGAATCCCAGTGGGTGCGTACTGATGAAGAGCCCCAAACTAGGACGAAACAGCTGTCCAGTACTCCTTGGCAGGTTTTCCAGTGGTTCTCTAACTGATGTCAGCTCATGATTAAATCCTCCATGCAATCAAACAAAATCCTACAAAACCAATACTTGAATATTACATTATTATCATATAATAGCATTAAATAGCGAAACGTCAGTAAAAACAATATCGTTTTGGGAGACACAATAACCTTTATTATAATTGTATCCGACTTATTGTTTATCATTCTAGTATTTAAGGAAAAATGTATTTTGTAGTCTTGTGTATAACATACAAGTCTTGATTCTATTTCTACCCGATGCCCTCCCGAACATTGCCTTGTCGGTAGTGAGCTGAAAAAAGAGGAAAGATTTGACCGTCATCGTAACAACACCATCCAGTAAATAACCAATACTGCAGCCACTATTTCTTATATGCGGTGAAATATCACCTCTCCGAACTGTGTGAAGTGTATACTCCGAAACTGATGTACATAAATTAATAACAGATCTCCCACGTAGCTGTCCAAATTTCGGGAGATTTGGACTGATACAGCTTTCTGGGCTGAGTCAAACTGGGTGCAGCACAGTGATGAGATCAGTTTCAAATGAGTGAAACAGCCATCTAGTATGATGCCCACTTCAATCTAACCGGCCAGCAAGAACTACTGGTTGCAGCTGTGTAGAGTCAAACACAAATAGTATCAAGAACCAATTGTTATTGCCGTAATAATCTCTAATTCTGCCAATGTATATTTAATAATCTAATTTCATCCCTGTTCATCTACCAAAACACTCGCATGAGATTCATCATTAATATAGCCGCTAAATAAGCGATGAAGACAAAATTGTTTACAGATGAAAAGAGAAAGAAATGAAGGAGGATTAGGAGCGAGAAGGAGAGCTATTGCCAGGTACTTCTGAAAAGCTCACAGTCAGAATTAACGTAAGTCCAACATCTAGTGGAAGGTATATCAAACATGGAACTCTTTGTAATTAGTGTCTTCATACTTACTGCTATGAAAGCTTGCTGACTATCTCACTATAACGAAAATTCGACCATTTCCAGACTGAATGTGCAATCAGATGTCTACTCACAAAACAAGCAATAAATATTGTCAATAAATTAGCATATATTATGAACTTCGTCGGTGCGTCGGTAGCACAGCAGTAGAATGTTTGCCAACCACGCAACTGGTTCAGGGTTCGATCATCGGCCACCTATGCACTCCTCCTTTACCTCGTTGGACCAGTAATAAGACTGGTAAAGAGGGAAGGTTGGACATGAAGCTAGTAACCTCATCCTCCAGTGAAAATAAATACCACTGCTACCGAAAATTCAAAGCTCTAGCTTGAAACCCCTGTGTTCCAATGGGAACGTAAAAAAATAAATAAATCATGCACAATAGCCAGATAAGAAGAAAGGCGTAAGAGAGATTGAAATGGAAATAATAATCTATTCGTGTGTGTGTGTATAGATGAAACTGGTGGTTACCCTGAATGTGATATGGTAATATCGACTACTTGTTAACTGTGCTAATATTATTTTTCTATAGTTTGGTTTGTAAGGGTTAGTTTTCTTATTACGAGTTGATCACGGATCGATATCAGCTAGAGAATCGTTGAAAACCAGAATTGGAGTACTGGACAGCTGCTGTTTTATCCTAGTTTGGGAATCATCGGGCAGTACACATCCACTGGAGTTCGAACCCAGGACCTCCCGGTTACAAGGCAAGCTCGTATACCATTCAGCCACTGGGACCCAATTCAATGGCTCATGAACTCTAACTTCTACCAATTCGTGATTTAGCGCGACCCCAATCATTGTCAAAGGTGGAACATCCATCATCACACGTGACATCTGGATGGACCTGACTGGTCATGACTTCTCAATAGAACTTACTCCATGATTGTAAAGGTTAGTTTTGAGCCAATGAATTCGGTCCCAGTGGATGAATGGTATATGAGCCAGCTAGCTTGCCTTGTAACCAGAAATGTCCTGGGTTCGAATTCCGGTGGGTGCGTACTGACAATGATTCCCAATCTAGGATGAAATAGCTGTCTAGTACTCCCTGGTTTTCAACGGTTCTCTAACTAATATCAATCCGTGCTACTATTATTACTGAAATTTTATTTTTGACCCATTAAAAACCATCTTCTGTCAGTACTATTATCTTAATTCGTCTCACTATTGTTACTATTCAGCTTGCAATTGCTGATAATTTCAAGTTCTTTCTTTGATGACTGATTATTCATTGAAGAGATACACCTGAATCTTAATCTAAAGATATTACCACGATAAATTCAAAGTGACCATCATTTCCTTCAGTACAACAGAGACCTGGTTAATTATTTTCATTTTATTTTTGATTACAGCTTGATTCCACACTGTATTTTTGGTACAAGTATGGGATTTTCAGCATGGATATCGGTAGCCCGAATTTCGCAGGCAGACCATAGATATCAGGTGTGCGTCAGCAGGGGATCGAACCCCAGACCATGTACATGGTCGGCGAGAGCGCGTCGGTGGCACAGTGGTTAGGACTCTCGCCGACCATGCACGTGGTCCAGGGTTCGAGCCCACGCCGACGCACACCTGATACCTATGGTCGGCCTGCGAAATTCGGGCTACTGATATTCATGCTGAAAATTCCATACTTAAACCAAAAATACAGTGTGGAATCAAGCTGTAATCAAAAAATAAATTTAAAAAAATAACGAGTTGATCACGGATCGATATCAGTTAGAGAACCATTGAAAACCAGCTTTGGAGTACTGGACAGCTGCTGTTTCATCCTAGTTTGGGAATCATTGGCACTACGCACCCTCTGCCTGGGTTCAAGCCCAGGATCTTCCCGTTACAAGCAGGCTAGCTGGCTCGTATACCATTCAGCCACTGGGACCCGACCCGATTAAATGGCCAGTCCATGAATTCTAAATTCTACCGATTTGTGATTTAGCGCGATCCCAACGATTAGTTCTAATTTCATACACCTCTGCAAATGAAAACATCGTTCTGTTGGTTTTTATGCCGATAACATTCCATAACTTGATAACGTAAATATCTGTCCATATTCTATAAGACACTTTGCTACTTGACACTTATGATACCTTGTCTTCAGCTTTTGTCCAACCACTTGGGCAAATGCTCTATCATGCAAGTAGACAACCGCTATTCCGCACGGAATCCCAATCTAGGAAGAAACACATGTCCATAGTGTTCAGTAGTTCTCCAATGAATGCATTACCTTACGGTCAAACTTGAAAACTCAAGGAAAATCCAAATTACGTTTAAAAATCAGAAGTTCAGCTTACCATGGCATCAATGTCACCTGTAATAACGCTGTTGTCAATAAGCCGACGTTTTTCAAACAATAAAGTATAATTCCAGCACTAACTAGTACAGTGACAGTATTCCTGTTTTTGTGTTCCTTCGCTGTCTAGTATTGTGGCAACTGTGCTCCTCATGCTTGTAATATTCGTGGAAAAGTTGAAATCCATTCGTCCTCTCATGTACACAATGATTTCAATAATCGTAAGTATAAATTTTACTAAAAAAAATTACTGATTTTCAATGAATTGTTTAATGTTCGTTTTAATTTACCTTGAGATTTGACCACAAAATAACTTCATACGAACTGTGATCAAGATTTGACCGGATAGTTGCAAAATAATTTAGCGCTGAGTGAGAAGTAGACATTTATAAAGTTATATTTGTAAAATCTCAGAGAAATTGAAATGATTAATTCCAACATTTCGTTCGGCAATCTGGTCCGAACTTCTTCAGGGAAATTAATCGAAATTAACATAACAAAGTTTATATATAAAGGGACACCTTGTTTTTTAAAATTTTGTCCAGTCATGAGTCATGCAACAGGTATCAACATGTATAATAAATAAATAAATAGAATTGTATGTTAATATAAAAGTACATCTCTTATTTTTAAATATGAATCAATAGGTATACTAAACAAAACAAAACAAAAATTGTATGAACTATGATCAAAAACTTTTTTGACCTCAGACTTTCAAGATTTGTCTACTTTTGTTAAAATATATGTATGTGGAACAGTCATAAAACATTTGCTATTCTCATATGAGCTGTGATCAAGATTTGACCGGATAGTTACAAAATAATTGAGATTTTTTATAAATATAATTTAATTTGACCGAGCACTTCGGTCCAATCAATCGACGGGAAAATCAAAAATTCAATTCAATAATTAATATGACCCGTTGCACAAGAGGTGGCTCTCGTGGCCTAAGTGGTCTAGTGGATAACGCTTTGGCGTTCGAAACTATGGGCACTGGGTTCGAGCCTCAGTGGGAACATCATCACTCACTGAGAAATGCAGGTACATACAGCTGACGAGTTCCAAATAGGACGAAATGCGCATCCTGGATTCCACTGCTAGCCACCATCCACCAATCGTATAATAATTTAACTTTTATAAATTTGTTATTCTCTCCATAAGAAGACGTAGACAATCGGGAATTCGACCAAGTGTGACTACTTGTTCATACATATCAAATTTTTATTTTATTTACTAGTCAGGATTTGCCATGCATCAGCTAACATCACACCTTCACGTCTGTTTAAACTGTTGGGATTCACCCATATATAAATAACTTCAGTTAAAAAACCAGGGAGTACTAGATAGCTGTTTCGTTCTAGTTCGGGACTCGTCAGTAGTATGCAGCCATGATGATGATGACACAAGTGGTCGAACCCAGGATCTTCATGTTACAAGATGAGCTCACTAACCATTCAATCATTGGGATGAAATCCCATGGCCAGTCAATTCTAACTTCTGTCAATTCGTAATATATAGTGCGACAGTCAGCCAGTTTCATTGGAGAGTATTTGTTCCCCCACACTGAACTTGATGAATCCCTATGTTCTCAACTTACGTTTATGTATCCAGTTTTCGCAGTAAATATTCCGCTGGGTACGTATTCGAACAATGAATTTCAATTACTGTTGGCTCTGGGGTTTGTTCCACGGTGGGGTCGTGGTTGCGTATAGCTGAAGATTACCAAGAAAGGACGAAAAGGCTGTCTAGTAATTTTCAGTTTTCAATGATTCTCTGACTGAAATCAAACTTGAAACAGTTCATACCCCTACAAACAAACACACTTGGGAAGTTAATTCATTCGCAAATGAACATAATAAATCCATTTTCACGCCCATCAGATGTCAGATTAATATCATCAAATATGCTCAATTAATTTTGACAGACTTTTGAAGACTGTCTATGAGATTACCACCATTCAAATGCATCTTATAGCCAGTCTTATGCCTTCACTGCCTTCTCATTTCTACTAAAGATCTATACTTACTTACTGTTCAGTTGTCGGTGATTCACGCAAGTGGTCCAGGATTCGATCGCTGGTCGACACACTCACAAACCTCTCTCAGCCGATAGTAAGCATGGTTGACAGGGGAAGTTTCGCATGAGGCTGGTAATCGCAACTTACAAAAAGAAACATAACTCCTTCTGAAACTTCAAAACTGAAGCTTGAAGCCCTACGTTCCACTCGGTACGCCAATGATATCAAATAATAATAATTAAATTTGTCTAATGAAAATCCACCCCGTTTACCTCTGATCTGAAGAACAAAGCTGAAATGAAGTATACTCAGTGTCTGCTGGTTGCGTATCTTGTTGTAATTTATTTTGAAAATTTATCTGTCCATTTCCATGCCACATAAGGCAGCTGGCATGCCAGTGAGTGGAAGTAAAATTAGAACCAATTACCTAGACATCGATCTCATAGTGACAATCTGAAGAATTATATGAAGAGGGCAATCACGAAAACAGGTAAAAATGATGCCAGAGAACAGAGTACATTAGAGACATTCTATGAAGCTTAATGTTTTAAACGCGAATTTCTTTCCCATAAGTCGCAGCTGCCACTTTACGAATAACCTACTCTAACCGTCCACTGGTGCACCTTAATGTCAAGGAAATGTTACCTCGATTGTCTAATTCCATGTGAATTTATATGTTCACCTGCTCTTGAGGATCTAGATACATAAGACGTTCATTGAGAAGCATATCCCACCGCCGCATTTGAGAGCCCTTCCAAGTTTGGCTGAGCAAAGGAGAATGTAGAGGTATTAATTCATCCATATTGTAAAATATTACAGATAGTGACTACGCAGCATCTGACACATCGTTTCATATATAGTCTACAAAGTCCGACAACGTTTGCTAATAGGAACAAGAGTGCATTTGCTTTGTATAGCAGAGGCTTTGTCAATACATAACATAAATAAAGCCAGAACTTTGTGTACAAAGAAACAATTTGCACGATCTCTTTCGTTACCATGGTCTTGACTTTACTATGTACGTTGCATAACAATTTTTTTTTCGCATTTCAATTCATTTTATCATATTCTAACATTTTATCTAGTCTACTACTTTAACAACATTTCACTCATTCTATGCTTCCATCATATCATATTCACATTTCCGAATGTACTTCATTTCCCCATCGTCTATTTCACACTTGTCTATTGAACTATAGATTGACTTCTATTTTCAATAGTTGGTTTATAAGGATTAGATTTGTTTTTATGATCGATATGTTTATATTTACAGATCAACATCAGTTAGAGAACCAATGAAAACCCATTAGGGAGTAATAGACAGTTGTTTGATCCTAGTATGGGGATCATTGGTGCTACGCATCCTCTGGCAGGGTTCAAGCCCAGGATCTTCCGGTTACAAGGCAAGCTGGCTCGTATAAAATTCAGCCGCCGGGACCAGACCCGATTCACTGGCCAGTCAATGAATTCTAGCTTCTATTTATGTAGTTATTAATGCATATATCTAATCAGTAGTGACTCGTAATCCTATACACCAATATTATGGCTCTTCAGTATTTCCACTAACTGTCAAACTTTAACACACACAAAAAAACTGATTCTTATTGTCTATCATAATTTATATATATATATATATATATATATATATATATATATATATATATATATAATTGTAGAGCGATGTTAATGAAATCGTCGAAAACAGGAGTTTCTTAGCTGAATTCATTGTTTTATTTTGTCTCAGAATTTTGTACTACTGATTGGTTGATATGAGTAGTGTCATACCATTCACATGAACCAGTAGCGTTTGCTACCTAGCCACAACGAAGTGATCTAAACACCAGACTATCGTTTCAATACAGCTTGAAGAGCTGAACCAGTTCAAACTGCTAAACACCCATCGGGTTAGCCACCAAGCATTACTGGTTGATGTGAATACTATATACAACTGCTCATGTCAAATAATCAATAGTAGTACATAGTTTCGTGAAAATACGCTTGCTTTCTTGATCATCATCTACAGTAGAAAGCAGATCACATATATTGTGATGTGAACAGTTTTCGGTTTTTCTTAAGAGAACTGTGGTGAAATTTCAGCTCGAACTGTGTGAATTGAAAACTTGTGAAATTCATTACTCAGAATATTCTTAACATGGTGGAATCAAAAGCCTGTCTGCAAGAATCAGAACATGAGCAGCATGAAATGACCTAGTCTGAAGGGTTTTATGCCCTATCAACACTGTTTATATTATTAATAGATTATGTAGTGAAGACGGTGGTAAGACGAGGTTACCTGGCTGCCTACTATCTCCAGTGATTTTTCTAATCGAGGGCGGTAGACTGGATAATGCGACAGACAGCGGCGGGCAGTGAGGAAACAGGCATAGAAATGGACTCACACAAAATCAACTTGGAGGATCTGCACTTCGCCGATGATATCTGTCTGATTTCCTACAAACTGGAAGATATGCAAGTGAAAAGCAACAAGTTGGGAGAAGAAGCATCAAAGATAGGACGAAAATAGGTGAATAAAGAGAAAACAGAAGTGATGAAGATTCCTGGTCAACAGCAACAGCAACAACAGCAGACATCAGTCAGCCAGCATAAATGGGAGAAATCTGGAAGAAGCAAATTCCTGACGAGGATATCAAAGCAGCGAGGATCGAGAAAGCAAGGTAAGTTTTCATTACTCTGAAGTCTGTGTGAAGATCAGCAGCACTCAGCACGAAAAGATCCGAATTTTCAACTCCAATGTGAAGTCAATGCCACTATATGGATCAGACACTTGGAGCTTCATGAAGAGCACTTCGAACAAGCTACAGACCTTCCTCAATAGCTGTCTTCACTTAATGCTCAAGATCAGATGGCCAGAAAAGATCAGCAACAGGGATCTCTGGCAATGAGTGAACTAACGCAGCAGGAACAAATTGTGCAACAAATGTGCAGGAAGAAATGGAGGCGGATTGGCCATACTCTGAGAAGACAAACCATCAAGTGAGTGACATCACACGCTCAAGTGGAACCCGAGTCGAAAGCGGAGAGCTGGTCGTCAATGCAAGAGTGGGGTGATATGGAGAAAGTCATGTGAACAGAAGATGAAAGCATGTGGACAGACGTGGAGCCAGGTGAAAAGGTTGGTGGAGAACCGAACCCAATAAAGACTTGCGGCTGAAACACAATGTCCCTCCAGGAACTAAAGGAAACAATAATAAATAATATAATCATACGGACTCAAAAAGTGTTGTTACTTTTACACCCTTTGATTCTGAGCGCAACATTTGGCTTCACCAGCACATATATATATGTCACACTACTCTATGAAGTCTTTTCTAGCTGTTTCCAAAATCGCCTATAAACCTTCATTTCTTCCTGACAATAATTCTTTCAAGTTGCCTTGTATATATCCGTACGTCAGCCACGTCTCGTAAACCGTTAATGCCCAGCTCTTGCTGCACTCGGGCTCACGCTGTTCCTTGAAGTTTCTCAGAAACGCTTAGTAATAACGGACGCAAAACCAAAACACCAATTGGCGATTCGAGGATTCTTTATTGTAACACCAACATATAAACAATGTTACAACTAAGGTCTGTGAACAAATATTACAATAATAAATCAAAATATTACTTCTGACGGTTTTCTGCTGACTTCTTTCCGAACAGCGACCGATGAGACGATGACTGTTGTATTGATGCCTCCGCGAAAATTGGGGAAGTTGGTTTTGAGCAAACAACCATGAATTGACCGTTCAATCTTCAACTACATTGACACCATATGCATGCAAACTCCAACTCCAATCACCAAATCATGAAATGAAAGGAGTTGTTCCTTTCCCTAGATATCCTACCAACCCGTGATGACCGCTATTCCTGTATTATATCTGTCCACAGATTATCTCTATCGGGGTCTTATCTATACTGATTAAAGATGTTCATGCGAAATTTCAAAACACTGATTGCTGAACAAAGAACTTCAACACAAGGTTCTATAATTACATATCCATGCATAATAATGAAAGAATGATTGTTATTGACAACACTAGTGGTTTTTAAAAAGAGAACAACATCGAATCATTTAGATCAAAATTCCAAAAGTTATATAGTTAATAGATCACAGTCCCAAATATATGTGTGTATGTGGTAATATGTGAAACTGTAATACTAAATTGAACACCAATATTGCAAAGTAAATGATTATAAATGACAACGAATGTTTAGTAATAAATAACATCTACCATTGTGGCTAAATAAAGGTGTAGTTAAAACCATCAACAGTTCGATATTAAACCACCTGGTTCCACAAAGCCAGCATTGAAGAATCCCTCTTTATCATCTACCGGGTACCAAATAAATTTAAAACACTTAGTTCCCTTTATGAATTTAGATAAAGCAATAAGAAGATGTAATTTGTCTGAATCGTGTAATGTATTTGCGCGCACAACACATTTCGAGCAATCTGATCACACACGGACTTGTCATAGGAATATATATAAAATTAATAAAGAGGTAAGAGGTGAGAAAATAGACTACTTAGGTCAAGTTAAAAGGACATATTCAAGGTCAAAATGACAATGAAGACCACTAAACCAAATAGCAGAGGTAATAGTACATCTGATATGGTATCAAAACAAAATTTACCAAGGAAGGTTTAATGTGATGACAAATTGTTTTTGAACGCATAAAGGTGGCTTGAACTTTCTAATTGCCAGCTAGGGCTTCTACAAACTTTAGGATACGTCCCAAGCACGTTTTATAGATAGGTTTTAAAGATCTGTTAACATCAATTTTATGACCTGTCTCTATAATATGTTTCGCAATAGAAGAGCTAGGTCTCCTGTTATCACCGTTAATAGGTTCTGAAGATTCCATTTGTTTCTAGAGCCATTTAGGAACATGCTCTGAAGCCAGTCCTTACTTGCAGAGATCGATGAGTCCTCCCTATGTATGTGTGTCCACACGTACATTCAAATTGGTAAATACAGTGGGATGTGACGTTATTTTTCGCATGTTCGAAGGGAATAGATAGATGTAATGGCTTTATATTCTCTAATATTATGATATTAGCTGCATAAAAAGTCTTTTTAACAGCAGTGTTCAGTCTTTGTCTGGTTATAAAGCTGCTATGATGCCCCGCCCATATAGGCTAGCTTGATGTACACGTCTTTCTTATGGGCGAGTTGTAGAATGGGTCTTGGTGTTCCACTGACTACCATATATCTCCTGATGAACTAGTCTGGATAATTGTTATCAACCAGAGTTTGTGTCAACATTCTTTCTTCTTCATCAAGTGTGTCTTCAGTGCATGGATATTCGTTGGATTCTACTGAAGATGCACCTCACTCACTAAGGCTCTTTTGTACCGAACAGGGCAGAAACTGTGTAGTTAAGATACTGTCCTGTCCTGTCCAGGTAGGTTTTCTATAAATAGATCTTTTTATTGACCCATCAAGCCGTCAGTCGACTAAGCAATATGTCTAGGAAAGATAAACAATTATCTTCCTCTTCTACAGACAGATGTAAGTGATATGCTATTCTGAACTTCATTCATTCGATTTAAAATTCAGATGGCAGAACAAGGCTTATAACTGATAACTATGATATTATCTACAAAACTTCTATAAAGTGCCACATTTTCGATTAAAGCTTCCGATAAATTCTCAATGTACGACATAAAAATATCTGCTAAAAGGGGCCCTAATGGACTGCCCATAGCAACACCATGGGAATTTACATTCTGATGGTTTTAATGAGTCAAGTTTATCTTTACTCATAGCATTTAGGCCATGAACCTTCAGTAGCTTAGCTGTCACTGTGACCCTGCAACAAATGAATAATACACGATTCAGACAAACCAAATAAACTGTCAAAAGCCTCCAAGTACTGAATGCTTCAAACAGCAGAGGCTAGCAAATTCCGCCAAAAACAACCTGTTCCCTGTGTGCAGAAGAAACAGGTGCAACCATTCTAACCGCCCTGGTCTGCTGTAGAGCCTATAAATTCATGAATTCTGTATTATTATTTCTTCCGATTCGCCTGATATTCAATGTGTAGTGTTGTGTTGATGCAACCAAAGTGTTATCCATTGATGTTATTATTGATCCAATGTTGTTTCATACATTTATTCCCCTTAGTGAATTTGAACAAAGCAAAAACTACAGTTTTAGCAGAATAAAGTGGTACTATCCTTTATTTAGTTGCCTTCTCGTCAGCTGCTTACAGGCCAAAGACATTATTAAATATATTTACAAAAACATACTTTCACAGAGTTCATTTTAAACAAAAATCAATCGACCCATACATGCATACAGTAATAATATATACCTGTATAGATATATATGTAATATTAAACACCATTCCGAACAATAATAATCATACACAATGGCAACTTTTCAGCATTTTGCATACAGATGAAAGAGAGATGAAAACTATCCAGTTACCAGGGCAAAAAAAGACTGATAACCGATTCTTCTTTCTGGACGCATGAATCAGGTTTCAGGCGCTTGATGGAAATAGCTTCAGCAAACTTGAGGAGAATTGTACTCTTTTGTCTATTGATAATTCTGAACTACTTTTCGACTTCCACCTCATGACCTGTGTCGAGGAGATGCCTGACGAAGGCATTGTTTGAAGCATTTGTTCCCTTTAGACATAAGCTTTTTGGTACATGTTCAGAAAATCGTAGATATCCCCTTCTTCTTTCTGTCCTTCCAATGTAACTGCTCACGCAGATACATGTAAATTTGTATATACAGTTGGAATTGTTAACATGAGAAGGATATCTATCGATTTTTGATTGCACCAGAGAGCAAGTTGTTCGATAGACGGGGACGGGCTTAGCTGCAGAATAGGCTATGGCTAGTGACGTACTCAGCCTTCTGTTTATCATCACTGCAATGTTTCTACCCTATATAATCAAGCTTAATGTAGACTGACTTTTTACCCACTGTGATTTGTGACTTCACATCTTCCATACTTGTTGATGAACCTTTGAGGGTACCCATTGCTCTTCAATATCTTTTCAAGAAAGTCAAACTCTTCCTCTAATTTCTCTATAGAGCATATTCTCCTCGCTCCATAATACACAGTCTTGACTAGTCTGCGTTTAAAGCTATTTGGACAAGAGCTAATAAAATGTAAGTATTGTCCTTTCCATGTAGGCTTTCGATAAATTGACTTCTGAAGACTACCGCCTTGTAGGCGTTACATGGCAATGTCAAGGAAATAAAATGAGTCTTTTATAGTGTGCACGCCTAGCCGTTTACGAATAGATTCCAACGTCTCCACAAGCCAACGTGCCACCTTATGTTAGGGCAAGTTGATCATCGAACATATAGGTCTCATGGGGACCTACTTTTGTGTATCTTCGGAAGGCCATACATTTGTGGCTAAGGGGACCCTCGAGGTTTCAAACGATTGTACGCATTGTTGTCAATCACTTTCTTCTTTAGAAGAAATATATGTGTATATTATTAATGTATGCATATGTTGATAAATTGATTTTTGTTTAAAATGAACTCCGTGCAAGTATGTTAAAATGGTTTCTGTACATATACTTAATAATGTCTTTGGCATGTAAGCAGCTGACGAGAAAGCAACGAAATAAAAGATGGTACTAATTTATCCTGCTAAAACTGTAGTTCTTGTTTTGTTCAGATCCAGTGTTATTTAAACAATACCTAATGTTGTTCATAACTCTAATTCATCCGCTATTATGCATGGATGTAGAACTGTAGAACCTCACGAGGATGAAGTTATCGAAAAGCACATTCTTTGTTCAATAATCAATTTTATCTATATATATTAAAACTTTTACATCTTATAATGAGGGTCACTTTGCATATGAAACTCAATCTAAAAGTATTTCTGTATTTCCTTTAGGTTATACTTTATTCCATAGGTGTTACTGCTGTATGTTCTTTACTCGATGTATGGTATAATCTTCTTGCATTGGTGTTAACAATAGTGTTCGCTGTGACCGCCGTTTTCATTGGTTACAAGATACAAACACTGGGGAAGAAAGCGTCGGTAACTATGGTAATAATAGCGTCTACATGTATGCTATGCTCTGTCGTCTTCTTTTTCTTGGGTATTATTGATGTAAGTGGATATCTGCATATAGATTGTTTTTATGCTAAGATAATTCGTAAATCAAAAACAACGGTTCATGAGACTAAATGATCTATTACTGTGCTTATGTCTCATTCTCTGAATTGATGTCAAACATTTCAGTCTTTTCAAAAAGCCATATCTCAAATTCATATCTCCACCAAAATTATAGTGGAGGTATGCAGATGACACATTCACTGTACTTAAAAACACAGAATATAGATAGATATTTTGAACACATTAACTCGAGGGTGGAGGTAATTCATCAATTCACTTATGAATTGGAAAGTCAAGAAGCGGGAGACCTTCCAATGTTAGGTTGTAGCGTAAAAGGGAAAGAAGATGGGAAGTTAAACACACGCTAGTGTGTTTACAGGATACCCAAGCACATTTAAACAGATGTTTGAACTTCAGATCATCCTATCCTATGTCAGTAAAAATGGGATTGGTGAAGTGTTTAAGTGACAGAGCACAAACACTAAGTAGTACTTAATAATTACCCTAATAAATTAGTCAGAAAGTATGTAGGGAAATATAAAAATAAAATAAGTAATGATAGTAGTGATAGGAAGGAGTCTAAATCATTAGTAGTAATTCCACACAAGGAAGGAACCTCGGAAACCACCTTACACAGAATTCTTAACAAGGCAGGCAGGAATAAAAGTGGCTGGCATTCAAACCAACCACAAACTTAATTAGAAACAAGCTTTGTCGGTTAAATGGTGGATCCTGTGGAGCCAATAAAACAAAACAATTTAGTTTATCTTATACTTTGACTGCAATGATTGTCAGTGAGGTCAAATACATAGGTCAAACTAGTAGAACAGGGGCAGTCAAACTAGCTGAACATAAAAACACAGCAAAATCTAGATTGGTTGACCCGAATAAGATAAGAAATCTAGAAAATAGTTCACCTATAGCACTCACTACATGCAACTACACATAACAATACAATAAAATGGGATAGGATGACAGTTTTAAAATCTAATGTCACAGAGTGTAGGGAGGGAGAGATTGATAACAGAAGCTTTGTTTATCGAATCAACTGCAAACCAACACGTGTAGTAGGAATGATCCAACACTTGTCCAGTTGGACATCTGGAAAATCCTACTACCCCAACGACGACTAATAGGAGAGAACGGTGAAGACTATAAAACTCAAGTTTCGAAGTAGAACGATTATAATTGATGTTATGACTATGAACAATAAATTTTGTTCGAAAAGTCATCCAGTAAATAATACTGTTACACCCACTGTGTGATACATTTAATCAACAAACTAATATGGAAATACTTACTACCACAGTGCCCAAGTTTTACACGTATATTAATCAGATGCCAACTTAAGGGTTTTGTAACCAATATCGTATGTCTAACTAGTCCTTATTATCAGTGAGGACTGAATTCTATCAGTCAAGTTGGCAGTGTAATCTTAAAACTAGGCAGCTTGTTTGGTGCACTGAGAATCAGTGTTGGACTGTCGTAAGCACTTAATGGGAAACTGATATTCTTCAGCAACGCGGATCTGCATCTATTGTCTTGACTTACAGAATTCAGTTTGTACCAACATGAAGGACCAGACACCGCCTCATGACATTGTTTCTTTACACCATAGTGACCAATTGATTTATCCACTAAAGTCCTACAGGTGACCAGTTATGAACACTAACAGTTCAGTGTTAACGTCTGTAACGGCAGCAGTGGGTGACGTGGGTTAGAATCTCAGACTTCCGTTGAAGTAGAAGATATGACCTATTGACGAGCGTTAACAATCACGAAACCTAGATCTAGGGCTTCCTGCTGACTGCCTCCAACAATCTGATATTGGAGGACATCATTCGACACTAGTTTGCACATTACAAAAATGTAAGTAAGCTAACCCCGTAACGCGACACACGTGACTGAAGAATGCAAAACGCGAAAAATATCTTTCAGTGTAAAATATTCAAATACCTGATGCTGAATCAGCAGGGAATTGAATAAATTCTCACTATGTTACAGATGAATTATGAGATCTAATGAGAAGTTATGGTCAATGGAATTACAATTACTATGCACTTTCGTCAGATCTAAGAGTCTGCGTGTAATACTAGTCCTACTAATAAAATCAGTATTTTCAAGTATTGGCTTTTGTAGGGATTTGATTGATTGGTTACAGAAATTCATCATGAGCTGACATCGGTTAGAGAACCAATGGAGTATTGGAGAGCTGTTTCATAGGCCACTAAATCGGATCCCGGTGGCTTAATGGTCTATGAGCTTGCCCTATAACCAACAGGTCGTGGGTTCAGACCTCAGTGGCTGCGTACTGTGCTGAAGAGTCCCAAACTAGGCGGACGAAATAGCTGTCTGGCAGTACTCCCCGTTAGTTCACCAATGGTTCTCTAATCGATGTCAGTTCATGATGAAATCCTGTAAGCAAAACGTCAGTATTATGCATACCCACTAGGTCGTTGTTTACTTTCTGCGACTTCTTCAGCTGTCTTCCTTTTCTCTCACCCGTTTTTTCGACATAGAATTAATGTTTTGTTGCGTTGTTGTTCGCTTGTATTTCAATTAGAACTTAGGGTTTCATCAGCAAGTTTCCACTTCTCTTTATTCTTTGAAGTCATCTTTGGCTGGCTGCACGATTGCCAACAAGCTTTCATCGCCTCCATATCACCTTAGGATGATCAAGTCATCCTTCTCCATTAGGATTCCACTCGAAGGTCTGCTGGCGCGGGTTGCATATCCAATCAATCCCCACTTCCGTCTGTATATTCTTAGGGGAACTGGCCAGACCAGTAACACAGTGATTCCCCGTTGTTCATCTTCTCGCGTCGGTCTTGTGATCCTCAATATTGAGAGAGAGCAACTGTCGATGAGAAGCTTTACTGACCTGTTGCGAATGCTTTCGGTGACGCGTGCACCAAGTTTGTAGACCGTAGACAAGCACTCATCTAACAGTAATATTTAAAATTTGTATCCTGTTACTTCCACTAACTGCCGCAGATCTCCACATTGATCTAAAAATAATAATAAATGTCTGTCTTTATTTTCCAGTCTCATTCTGATTTCGACATTCCCATCCATACAAAGTTGCCTAAAGTTGAGACGATTTCCTTTGATTTGCCGCCGTCAACAGCGACCATTGTTTGCTAGTGTTAATAAGCGAGTACCATCATCATCTCAGCCTTCTTTATGTTCACCCGAAGTCTTGTATTTGCTGTTAGCCTTTTCTGCAAACTTGATGGGTTTTAGAAATGGTAGAGAAGATTTGTAGCTCAGGTGGATGATTTTGATGTGGTTGTGTTCTCTCAGCTGGATGGTTAATTTGCGAAGCTTTCATCCCCCACCTACTACGTAACATCCTGCGCGCATACTTCTATGTGTTGAAGTGAGCTTTTAGATTTCTCCACGAGTTTATTAATCATTCCTCCTGGTGGCCTTGGACGTGATTGGCCTTTTTGTGTGTGTTTTCACACCTTCTAGGTTACTTGTATTGGAACTGATTGTTTCTGTGACTTGAACTTTGACCCTTTGTGTGTGAAGTTTCTTTCTCATTGATTGATAAATTTTGTCTATCTCGATGTGTCTATTGATTGATGATTCACTGGAATACTGGCCAAGCTTCTAAAAATTCTCCAGCATTCTTGTTGTTTCCTCTATCTAATATTTAAACGTTGTCCCAGTCGAATTGATGTCCGTGGTTGTCTGTATGTAGTGATATGAGCCAGGGAGTGGATATCATGTCTTTTGACGGCTAGTTAGCTTATGTTCGTGGATATGAAGATGAAGCGGACATCCACTTTGGCCAATGTAGTGTTTTTCGCCATTGTTACAATTTATTTTGTAGATGATGTTGGTTTTATCTCCTTTCGTTGTTAAGTCTTTTAGTTGACATAGAACTCAGTGAAGTGACTTTGTTGGTTTGTGCGTGACATCACTTCCTAAAGGTTTGAAGATTCTTTCAGTGATTTCTGCGATATCCTTTATATATGGTAAGGCGATTTTCTTTGTGCTTTCCTTGGTGGCTTTTGCTTTGGTAGGTTGGCTTGGAGGTATATGTTTTTTGATATCCATTCTTTTGGAAGACGTCCATGAGATACTTTTCTTCAATTTTCCTTAAGGTGGGAGTGCTGCCATAGGAGTCCTGGCCCTCTTGAATAGTGTTTGTATGTAATTCCTTGTGTGTGTTATTGGGTTGTTGCTGTTGCAATTCAGTATTTGGTCTGTGTGAGTTGATTTCCTATAAACTTGAGTTTCTAATTCTCCTGTAGTTGTTCGCCTGACTAAGACGTCCAAAAATGGTGTTTTGCTCTCGGATTCCTCTTCTCTTGTGAATTTGATGTCGTTGAAGACGTTGTTTATTAAGTTGTGAGTTTTATCTAATTCGTTTCTTTTGATAATCACAAATGTGTCGTCGACGTAGCGTATCCAAATCTTGGGTTTGATCTTTGGTAGAATTATGATGGGTTTTCGCTGTATATTTTCGAGTTTATTAGGACATGAGAAGCAAGTCATCCATCAAGTCCAAATCCTTTAGATTCCTGTCGGTTCAACATATGCTAGTTTTATCCCTCCCCACAATCTGTCGTATGGTGCAGTTCCCCACAATCGGCAAAATTAGTCAGCTTTGTCTTATTCCTTTTTCCCATCAGAAGCTTTACTGAGCTTTTCTATGTAAAGCACTGTCAAAGAGGAAAACTGTGACAGAAAAATTTAATAGCATTCTTCAGTCGGAAATATACACACTACTGATACAGACTACTTATAATACAAACCAGCTTAGTTTACACTGTATTTAAGGCAGATATGATGCAAATTATTATTACTTATTATTTATTATTGCTGTTATTGTCATATTATGCAAGGTATTATTATTATACTATTTATTTTCATTACTTCATTTAGAGATTGTATTTAGTTTTTGCTGGACTGTTCGCCAGCATTGGAATATCAATTGTAAGTGTCTAACCAACAATCAATATAACTATCTGTCTGCGTTGTTCTTATTTCTACATAATGATAATACTTTTAGCTTTAATAACTTTTCAAAGACAATCCCAAAGATTACCCTGCTTGATTGATTCCCTTTATTAGCCGTATTTATATAAAAGGGGTTTCCTATAAACGTTCTTGAGTGCATACTGTATGCACTGATAAACATAGAAGCATATTAGAATGTTGGATATATGTAGCGAATTCATCATATTCAAGAATAGCCAATAGTAAAGAAGAGACACCATAGTCTAGTGAATGACCTTGAACCAACCAATCATATCCTTCCAGGTGGAATGTGGCATTTTAATATAAAAAAAGAACATTTAGAGGGTTAAATAAAAAGGAATTATACAATTTATATGCCTCTAATATTCTGCCAGCACAGGCCTCATTTTTCCTATAAGAGAGCCCATAGATATATGCCATTCTAATCCATATTTTTAGATATGCCCAATATCCTTCAAACGAGTTTGTATCAGTACTTGTTTTACGATGTGCGAATTCTAATTAAAATGATTGACTTTATGATGTATACACCTTGATGACGATAGTCACATTCTTCAACAATAGCAAATGGATGCTGTCAATAAACCCCTTTGGAATTTTCATCCTAACCTTAACCGGCGAAGTTCAACAATAGCGTCCCAATGTGGTGAGAGCAGGCTGCTAGCCGATTGGTTGACACTAAGCTACGTTAATATGGGCCGTGAGAAAATATGAACAAGGCTGAGTCAACAACCAATCACAGCAAAGTTAACGTGGCAAAATATGATTAGCAGATAGAGAATTCTATTTGTCAAGGAATCCCGAAACAACCAATCAGAAGCCTGCGTTTGTCTGCCTAACCTCTGATAAACAACCAATCAGATGACTGCGCTTGTGTATAATAATGTATGTGAAATATGTATAAATACGTGTTGATTTTCATAATAAAACGATCTGTTGCCTGGCCCTTGTCTTCTGTTGTTACACCATGAGTACGAACGCTCCAAAGACCCTGAACGCATGCTAGTTGTTGGCTAACGGCATCTATCATTATCATAGCTGAAATATCAACGCTATTCACCAACTTAGGAGTAAATTTCATCCAGATTATGTTTTTAAGCACTGTTTGGACACTGTGTTAATAGCTCGTTAGGATTAGTGCTAAGGTAAGTATGGGGGTTAGGGTTAGGATCAGGGTTATAATAAGCATTAGGGTTAGAATTACCCTTTAGATAAGGGTTATGATTAGGATTACGATTAAGGTTAGGGTTAGTGTTAGGGTTAGGATTAAGCTTATGGTTACGGTTAGGGATAGATTTATAGTTGATGTCATTTATTTTAATTTGTTTCATTATCCACGTTTTCCTAGTAAGTAGTCATCTATCCTCTTTCTGGAAACCATAACAATTCAACCGACGGTTTTTTTTGGAAGACTGCAATCAGGATGAGAGAGATAAAGGATTCACAAAAACAGTTTATCTGCAGTCATCTCGGTGAATACATGTACAGAAACTAGTCTAACTTAGCAAGTGATACTTCTCGATATAACTAGGACGTATTTTTAAGTCATGTCAAAGAAAGATGCCCTATTTAATGTGTTTTCATGCATTTTCTTGTCAATATACATCATTTTTTGAGCAAACATTCCTCATTTTTATGATTGGTCAGCTGAAGGTCACTCGTGCGTTCGCACTCCTGGGACGCTATTGTTGAACATTTCCCCTTAAACTACCCTAACATTACTCTAACCCAATCCCCATCCCTAACTTTACCCTGACCCAAACACTACACCCACCTCAACTGTAGTCCTAATCCTAAATAAAGGTGGAGATTACAACAAAGACTGTGAAAAGCATCTTTCTGTCAAGAGACCAGATTGGTCGCTTCAAGGTCACTTGGCTGTGGTAGCTATTCTTTACTTTTGCCCATAATGACTATCGTCATGAATATTAGCCATTTACCAAACTATTGAAGCACAATGAACAGTAAGTAAACGTTTTGTTAATATTTGGGACTCCTGAGTAATGCTCGCTCGCAACTACCACACGCTGAACACACCAAATTCTATAAATAAGCTTTTCGGTGGCTCTAACTATAGCAGCTCAAAACGAAACTATCTAATGAACGAATTGATGACTTCGACGAGTTTACTTAACAGAAATCAATTTGTCCTGACTATGAGGATTCTTGTAAGAAATCGAGAGGTTTTTGCGAAAATATACAAGAATATTATCTTATATAACCATTTCTTTAACATTCAATTACTTCTATGTAGACGTTTATTTCAAATTACGCACTTCTACTTCTGACGTATCTGAATGGCCGCTTGAGGTAGTTTCGTTTTCAGCTTCTGTAGTTTACAGTCACCAGCTTTTCTTCTATGACTTTAAATTAGTTTTTACACCTTTTTAGGTAGATGGGTGTATGCTGAAGCTCAGTTTCCCAGGACAGACTCATCATGTATGAGGCTAAAAGCCATACTAGTCGTTTGATGCCCAGTGATACCAACCGGTAGGTGGAGCGAGCGGCACTCGAACTCATGACCCACAGGCTGAAAGCAGGGGGCTCACGCCACTAAGCCACACCTCCACAGATACATACCGTGCGGGGAAGGATATGTAGGCGATCACCAAGACAGATTTATCTCCCTTTCATTTCTACCTCCTTAACAGGATGGGACAGTGGGGGCCAATTACAACCTGAATTTTCCCAAGCAACCGTTATTGTATACGACCTTATGTAATTTTCTATTGCATGTTATAACTAATACTGTAGTCGTTCAAATTTGTTACGTTTGACTACTTTAAGGGTTACAAGTTTGATCATAGACTAAAATCAGTTGGAGAGTGATTGGAAATCGGAGAGTATTGGATTTCTATCTCCTCCTAATTTGGTGTCCTTCAGTACTATATACACAGCCATGACCTCACCGTCAAGGAACGAACGTAGAACCTCCAGGATCTCCGACAAACTGTCGACCATCCAGCCACTGCAACAGAATTCAACGGTGCATAAATTCGAAATTCTTCTGATTCACGACTTGAAGGTGTCTTATTGATTTTTTATACAACTAGAATTTCTGTTATGTCACCCGCCATGCAATGCGTGAAAATACCTTATAAGACTAGTTCCATCTTCACTTAGCTAAATATATATATTGTATACTTTGAAAGAAACTAAACAGTCTTACTTCCATTGGCTCGAAAATTTACTACAAATAAATCTCTCAAAGTCCATAACTTTAAGTAATCATGAGCATATTGAGAGAAAATCCAACTGATACGTAGACTGTGATACACGGTGATAATTATTATTATTGCTCCCTTGGGTCCCTAGTGGAACATAGGGCTTCAACTGCACGTCTCCACTTGCCACTTCTGTCTTCCTTCTGGTGTACTTTTCACCTGCATCCATGTTAGTTAGTCCATACTGTTTCAACTCCTCTTCACACGATCTCCCCCATGTCACCCTTGCACTGACGTCCCACACGCCGCTTCTCTTTCGGCCTGGTTCCACTCGAGCAATGGCCTGACGCGGGCGCGATGTCACCCAGCGATGGCCTCCTCAGTGAGCGAGTGTCCAATCCATCTCCACTTTCTCCTGCATATTTGTTGGTTGGCGATTGGTTCTTGCTTTGTTTGTTCCCATAGTTCCTTGTTGGTGATTCTTTCCGGCCATCTGATCTTCAGTTTAGAGCGAAGACAGTTGTTAATAAAGGTCTGCAACAGGCTGTTGGAAATATTCTTTGTGACCCGCCCGCCAAGTTTCTGATCCGTATAGAAGAACTTACTGACTTGAAGTTTGTATTGAAAATCCGACCGAATTTTGTTGTTGATGCTGACTGAGTGACGAAGATTTCCAGATTGATTTCAGGTTGATGAATGTGTTTCTCGCCTTCCCAATTCTCGCTCGATTTGACATCCTCGTCCGATCCGACTGCCTGTAGTTGAGACAATGATCCCTAGAAAAGTGAGTGAATAAAGTAACCTCTTTCAAATCCCTCCCGTTGCTGGTGATTGACGCTGGATGTTGTTGTTGTTGGTTGTTTATTTTCATCACCTCCGTCTTGTCTATGTTCACCTGGAGTCCTGTCTTTGCCACCTGCTTCTTCGACCAGTTTGTCGGTTTTCGCTCGCTTGTAAGTCTTCAATTTTGTGTGACATCAAACATAAATCATCCACGCGCAAAATCCACGTCTTCTAGGTTCTTCGCGTCGGTCCAGGATATTCCTGTCTTCTCGTTTCCCACTCACTGTCTGACGCATAATCCAGTCAGTTCACCACAATTAGGAATATTATTGGTGATAGATAATAAGCATTCTTGTCTGACTCCTGTGTTTACTCCAAACGCCTCGCTGAGTTTTCTGTTGTGGATCACGGTGATAACCTTTGACTTTTTACCAAAAAAACGATCTAATTCAGTACTGAATAACCAATAAACATTTCTGTCTACAAAGTTGTATTCAAATAATCTTGAACTCATGAGTACCACCTTCATAATTTCTATTTTTGTATGTAGATGATAGTGCTACTGGGCAATGAGATGCATACCTGTACCACGTCGAAATCAACGTTTTGTTTGCCAATATTTCAAGCATTTTTGCTTTGGGTAACAATGATATATATGTACACTTCATGGTCTATTATGCTTCTTATTACAAAATGAATAAAACTAATAATTATTTAGTTTTTTTTTAAGTACTGGTTTTGTACAAGGCGATCTCGTAGACCATTGAGCCTACTGTAGGGTACAGCAGGTCGAAGATGAGGCAGTAACTCATCGAGGAAGACATTGCGAAGTGGTCACGCTATGTCGTGAACTGGCAGAAGTTAGAATTCAAGAACCATTGGATCGGGTCCCAGTGGCTCAATGGTCTACGAGCTCGCTCTGCCTTGTAACCAGAAGGTCCTGGGTTCGAACCCCAGTGGGTTGGGTGCGTACTGCTGAACAGTCCCAAACTAGGCTGACGAAATATCTGTCCATTACTCCCTGGCAGATTTTCCGGTGGTTCTCTAACTGATGCCAGCTCATGGTGAAATCCTCCATACAATTATTTAGTCATTTAGCTGGGAAAAATAATTTCTTATTTGAACGAAATATCAGCCCCCCCCCCCACACACACACACATCGAGTCATAAGACAAAAAGACGTAATGAAAAAAATAAAAGACAGATTCAGCGAAGAAAATTTTCTTTATGGACGAAATCATCTTCAGAGGCTTTACAGTTGTATTTATACTTACAAATATGTATATAGTGGTCTATTACTGGGTAATAGGGTGTGTGTGTGTGTGACATAATTGCTATGATTACTCAGAAATAGCTTTACAAGTGAAAATTAAAAATTGTAAATTACGCACTGATCAATGGTACAAAGTTATAAATTTGATAAGGTTCCAATTGCTATTGAGTGAGAATAAAAGTGGTATTTGAGTGTCAATTTAACAAGTGTGAAGAGGGTGTGAAATATGCAGAAGGACCATATGAGAGTGATAATAGTGAATCAATTGTTAAAGCATAAGCAAATTAAAAGTAAAATTAAAAATCAAAATTTTTTACTGGGAACGATTAAAAAAGAGGTTAAGATCAAGGTAGAATAAGAGACTGGACAAACTTTTTTCGCTGTATACAGAGTTCAGGGTTGTATTGGCGAATTGCCAGCGCCTCCACCATACACAAAAGGCGAAACCTGACGCCCTTCGTACCATTTGGCTTCATTTTTTAGATGATCTTGAAAGACGACTCTGGTGGAGCTACGTGGCCAGAGTTCACCAAATGCTCGAGAAGTGAACTAGTAATTGTCTTGCATTGTCCCTTTGCTAACCATGCCGGATAATGTTCAGAGATGCATTTGGAAATCGTGCGCTTTGTGTGTGTGGCCAATATAACTAGCTCCACACGAGCAGGTGAATTTATAAACACACATTGAGGTGGCCCGTCCAAAGCGGCAGTTTATCCTTCACACATCCGTTGATCATTTGTCGGCTGTAGA